CGAAGCTCCGGGAGGCGGCGGCGCCGCTCGCCTCCGCCGCCGTCCGGCGATGCTCCGGCGGGCCCCGGATCCACGCCGACGCCAATTGCCCGCGCTGCACCGCGCACATCTCCGTCCAGTTCTCCCTGCAGCCCCTCCCGCCGGCAGCCGCCTCCGGCGCCGAGGGCGCGGGCGCCCACCCGCACCACCACGACGGCGCCACCGTCTGCCCCACGTGCCGCGGGGCCTTCCTATTCCGCGCCCACCGGATCGACCCCATGCGGGGCGCGTTCCTCGAGATCCCCGGCGGCGTCGCGGGCGACGACGGCGAGGACGCGCCCAGGGGCGACCTCTCCCGGATCAAGAGGTGGATTGCGGAGCGCCCGCCGGACGACTGGCCTCCCATGCCGCCGCAGGCTCCCCCGATGCAGATGCCGCCGCAGGTCCCCCCCACGCGACGTAAGCAGGGGAGGAGGAGAGGGAGGGAGGAAGGGGGCGGCGGCGGCGGCGGTGGCGGTGGCGGCAACGGTAACGGAGGGGACTCCTCGGGCGGGGAGGGAACGAGCGCGGCGCCCAAGAGGGAGTGGTGGGGAGGCGCCACCCTGGGGGAGGAGCTCCCGACGCCGCGGGAGATGTGCCGGAGACTCGATGAGTTCGTCATTGGGCAGGGCAAGGCTAAAAAGGTGCGCCCATTTGTCCTCGATTCTGGTTGAATTGATCCAAATTGGTGCGATCGTTGCGGAGTGCTGGCGTACGTGGTGCAATGTAGTACGTTGGACTAGGACAATTCAGTGGTAGCTTGGTATCGGTAGGTGAATTGTGAGTTTTAGTGTGAATCGTCCTAGGTAGTTGACATAATTGAGTGAAATAGTGTACGGCTGGTTGCTGCGGCAACTCCGAAATGCACCTGGTTTGAAGTACTACTAGTAGCTGACTGTGCCTTAAATTAAAATTCACCCTGCATTTTTGCGGTTGCTTTGCTCAATGGTGGTTCTCCGAATTTTTGGTCTGTGAGAATATAGTTGGATGATATGCTGGTAATTAATATGTTTGATGGACGACTAAGACTATCAGTGTTTCTAGTAGAAATGTAGAATTGGGTTCTGGTGATTCAAGATTGGCAAATCAGGGCTGAGTAAATGGTATATGATCATCAATGCTGGCATGCTGCTGATTATAGAATAATTGCATGTACAGGTTATCATATACTACCTCCATACCAAAATATAAGACGTTTTTGTAGGCTCTAACTAGCCTACAAAAATGTATTTTGGTACGCAGGTAGTATGTACTACTCGTGGGTGTGCAGATATGCTGTAAACTAAATTAGGCAAGAGTTCCTGGTGCTACTTATAAAATTTGTACACATTGGATATGATCCTTCTGTGTTTGTATTTGGAAGTACCTATGATGCATCCTGTCGCAGGTTTACTGGATATCTATTATTTTCACTCATTGAAGGAGTAAAATGCAACAAATATGACTTTGTGTTTCTATAGTATATGTTTCTTCAGAACACAACATACCATAATTCCAACATACATATCCAAACTCTTACTTTTGTTTCAGGTTCTATCAGTGGCCGTATACAACCACTACAAGAGAGTATATAACGCAACTGTACAGAAAGGGTTAGTCTCTATCCTGTAACTACCTGCCGCAGTCTAGCCTTTTTATCATATCTCCACATCAGCAAATCATGAAAGACAAATGCTGAAGTATTTTTACACATTGGTAATGTATTAATTCAACGGGTTGTGTTTCAAATGTACTCCCAGTAGTTGTTAATTGCCATGTTCTGGCTTTTAAATGGCATGTCTGTGATGTTGTTCTATCTAGATCTGCGGACAATTCTGGGTGTCCAGACGCTGCAAATGATGATCACGATAATGTAGAGATAGATAAAAGCAATGTACTTCTGATGGGTCCAACTGGCTCAGGTCAGCTTTTTTATTTTAATCTTCCACATTTCTAACTAGCATTTTCACATGATACAATATACATGTATAGCGAGATTTATTATAAGTTGGATCTGACACTGATATCTTTCTTCGTGCTATCTGCTGACAGGAAAAACATTGCTTGCAAAAACATTAGCACGCATTGTAAATGTACCATTCGTTATAGCTGATGCGACATCATTAACACAGGCAAGGGCATCACCACTTCACTGTCACGTTGTTTGGGGAACTGTCTGAGAAGATTCCTACTTAAATCCATTCGATCTATTCATGAATGCTCAATGATTAACATACTTGCTCTGCTCTTAGACTCTAATTGCGTGCTTTCACTAGAATTCACACTTCAACCAATACTCCCCTATCTTATAATCTGCTTAACTTTTGAGTTCCGAGTTTCTCCGCTAAGTATTTTTGTCAAGATTTTATATCGTAGTAGATTTCTATACAGTGAACTGGTATTTCATTACTAATTTTGACAGCATTTTGCAGGCTGGATATGTAGGTGAAGATGTAGAGTCGATACTGCAGAAGTTACTGGTGGTATGTGTGGCTCGCTATTTAATGCCTTCCCTTTGCATGTGCTCACGTTGTTGTTCAAAAAGAAATTTAAGATTTGTTGGCCCTTCTGACATTCCGAATTTATTTTCAGGAGGCCGAATATAATGTTCAAGCTGCCCAGCAAGGGATAGTGTACATAGATGAAGTAGATAAAATAACAAAGAAGGTACCGACTTTTTTTCTCCCTTTTGCTGAGTAGCTTTTTAGCCGGGAAGTTTGTAAACAATAACTACGTTGCAGGCAGAGAGTGCAAATGTTAGTAGAGATGTATCTGGTGAAGGTGTTCAACAGGCTTTGTTAAAAATCCTAGAAGGAACTGTAAGTGATCCCACTTATTATTGGTATTCTTCTTTTTGTTCTCATAGCTGGAGTAATCAAACCATTAGTGACTAAAATCTCGTGATACTGCGTTACTTTGATTATTACTTTTTTCGGTTTTGCTATGAGCTACTCCCTCCGTTCCTAAATGTAAGTCTTTTTAGACATTTCAAATGGAATACAACATACGGATGTATTAGACATATTTTAGAGTGTAGATTCACTCATTTTGCTCCGTATGTAGTCATTTGGTGGAATCTCTAGAAAGACTTATATTTAGGAATGGAGGGAGTACTTCAGTATTTTGTATGTTGGGTATTAACTTAGTTATGCTTTGTACACAGGTTGTCACCATTCCTGAAAAGGGATCTCGCAAAAATTCTCGCAATGATAGTATACAGGTTATATCCCTACCCGGTGCTTAAAAAAATATGTTCAGTATCATATATACATCTAGTATCATATGGATTGAGAATTAATTGCATTCAATAAAAGAGTTTCTTCAAATGGATATTTTTATGTGTGCAAAGGACACTCCAGTTAACTAAATAGTGAACTTAGAAACAGAAAGCATGTTTTCACAACTAAAAGGCCACCATGCTCTTGCTTAGAGTAGAACTGGCTACAGTTATTGGCTATTTTATAAAGGCTGCCTGTTGATGGTAATAGCATTGATCCACGGGGCTGTGGTGGATAGAGCATGATATTTTTGTTTCTCAGCTACTTTGCTCATTAGGAGCATTTTAAGCCTGTAACAAATCTTATTCTAATGCAGATAGACACCAAAGACATTCTTTTCATATGTGGTGGTGCTTTTGTAGATTTGGAGAAGACTATTTCTGAAAGGTACTGCAGACTTTATGATTATAGAAATGACTTATTTTGCAAACATTTTAAGTTCATATCTGGTGGCATTACATACTTGTGATCTCCATGAGGATTTGGAATTTAACTCCGACTTCTTACATAAAGCAGACGACAAGATTCATCTATAGGATTTGGGGCACCCATTCGTACAAACATGAGAAGTTCAGGAGTGACCAGTCCAACGGTCACGTCATCTTTGTTAGAATCTGTAAGCATTTCAATATCTACTGATTGATTTATCGACAGCGCCTGTGATGCTCTGATCATTTCCTCAGTAATTGGAGCAGCCTTTTATCTCACAAAAATATTCTTCACATAATCCTGAACATAAAATTCCATGCCGATTGGCAGGTTGAGAGTGGAGATCTTGCAAAGTTTGGGCTAATACCAGAGTTCATTGGACGCTTGCCCATTCTAGTTAGTTTGGCAGCTCTCGATGAAGATCAGCTTGTCCAGGTAAAAATGTAATGTATTCTTATTTGAGTATCCGCATGAGGTTGCTGGTTTAAGCCTTTGATGTCCTCCTTCATTCAGAATCATGTTCTGTTCTTCTCTTTCACATAAACTAAATGATCCGACGTCTGTATAAGTTCTTGCACGATTTTCATATGGCTAGCCTGCTGAAGCTAACTGAAGTGATTTGATCTGCATTCAGGTTCTTACAGAACCAAAGAATTCACTTTCGAGACAATACAGGAAAATGTTTAGCCTGAACAATGTGAGTCCACTAAAACTTGGAAGTGATTATAGACTTGCTTCTTTGCGCTAATTTCTAACATTCCCTTTTCCCCGATTCCTCAGGTTAAGCTGCACTTTACTGATGGTGCACTGAGAATAGTAGCAAAGAAGGCCATAGTCAAAAACACTGGTGCACGTGGTCTAAGAGCCCTCCTAGAGACCATTCTACTGGAGGCCATGTACGAGGTAGCTGCTTGCAGTTTTCTGTAATGAACGCTGCAGAATCGAGGCATACGTTCTGACATTCTTCGTAAACAGATCCCTGACGAGAAAGCCGGAAATGAGCGAGTAGATGCTGTTGTGGTGGACGAGGAGGCCATTGGTTCCGTTGACAGGCCTGGGTGCGGGGCTAAAATTCTTCGGGGGGACGGCGCATTGGCGCAGTACATAATAAGAAATAACATTCCGAATTCACCGGTATGGTACTCGATCTGTGAAACACAAAAAAGTTACCCTATTGTCACATGCTATCAGCACGATATGTTTCTCTTTAAAATTGAAATGGAGAAAATAGCTCTTAACTTGCACTGCCTCCTCTAACGCTCTGCTCTAACTCACACAGGAAACTAACGAGGCTTTGGCGGGGGAGCTCGAAGACGCGTACATGCTGTCAAGAATCGTTAGCTTGTGATTAACCTTACAGACACCGTATATTATGTAAAATGTCCCCCACTCACACCCAGTCAATTTAACCAATTTTCCTGTGATCTATTTAAAGTTTGCGGTGAGGTCCGACGAGCAGAGATCCGGCCGGCGCGCCATTTGTTGTAATTGTTGATGTAAACAGGAGTTGCCTTTTGATTGAGCAACCATCCTGCTATAAGCAACATGTTTCTCATTCTTTCTTTCTGCTGCCCCCGGTTGGGGGGCAGCTAGCTTATACTCCCTCCGTCTGAAAATACTTGTCATCAAAATGAATAAAAAGGGATGTATCTAGATGTATTTTAATTCTAGATACATCCTTTTTTGTCCATTTTGATGACAAGTATTTTCGGACGGAGGGAGTAGTTGTTGTTGGCAAAGCTGTACACACCAATCAACCTCGTCACAGTTATAATAAGCAGGCGCAGTTTGCCCAGTGGCACCTGTACAGGTTTCAACTTTCATGCACTGTCTGTAAAAACATCCCGACGTTTGTCCTGCAGTATCCACATCTGTTCAAGCCTGTCGCGTTCTGGACGCTGTGATTTCTTCAGGAAAGCTGCATGATTCAAATTTGAACTAAAACCACGACAAGAATTATAATTATGGAACGGAGGGAACACTTTTGATGATCACTATCACATGAATGTTTATGGAATCATGAATCTTCAGGTCAATGGTGCTCAAGAAACGGTTCACACCACACAGAGGGTCTGAAGTCTCTCTCAGCTGGGCAGTTTCTGAGAGAAAGAAAGGTGGATGTCGCGGCGCAGAGCAGCGGCCTCCTAACGACAAGCGCAAACCTTGGTGCGGTTGCGCAAACCCGGCGCGTGCACGGATCGCGAGGCTGATCGGGCGGCGAGGCGCGGCCAGACGGACCCGTTCAGCCGTCACTCTCGTCACCGTCCCCCACTCCACCCTTCTCCCCACCCCAGTCGCTGAGAGAGAGAGGAGAGATCGAACCCTCCCGAACCTTCGGAGCGCGCAGGGGGCGAGCGAGCGAGGGAGAGAGATGGCGTACGGCGGCGGCAGGAGGGGCTCGTCCAGGTGGGGCCTTCCGATGGTGAGGTCGGACGCGCTCGGCAAGCTGGGCCCCTCCTTCGGCATCGGCGCCGGCTGCGGCGTCGGCGTCGGGGTCGGCCTCATCGGCGGTACGTGCCTCCCCACTTTTACCTCTCCGTCGACCTGGGTTGAATCGGCGATGGACATGGTACATGCTTGCCTGCCACCGATTAGGCCGCCCTTGTTTCGTTTGGATATTCAGCGCCGTCTGTCACTGGCGAATAGTGTGCGGGGGTTCGGGACCCGTCACGGTCACCGTCAGGATCAGGGTAGCTAATTCGAGTAATTCGATTCGAGACCATTACTTGTTTGAACCCTACGAACGTATCCTGCACTTCTAACCAGTCGCATGTTGTCAGCAGCTTTTGGAGTGGGAAGACTGCAGGGTTCAGGTAACTCAGGTGCGATAATTTAGGTCTGTATGTACGGAATATTGGGTTCTGGATGTGGAATTCCTATCAAAATCTGTGTTCATCCCACTTCGTAAAAAACAGTGAAAGTGCAACCGTGCAATGCTATAGGGCTTACTAGCAATCTAGCCCCTTTCCGGCCGCAACAAAAGGTTGAGTGTGGATGACTAGTTATGCAGAATATCTGTGTCTTTTTTGGACAAGCACGCACTACCTTTATGGGAATGCCTAAATAGTATGGGAGTGGTATATTCTAAATGTTAGGCTTGCGGACGAAAAGGCTTCCTGCAAGTATTTATACACTTGAAATGTCATTCTGAAACTTATCTGAAGAGGAAATTGCAGCTAAGATTTGAGAATTATGTAGTTGGTATAATGTACCTGGTGACAGAGAGCCTATAGGTAGCAAATCAACCAGATAAGGGGATACAGGAAGGTAAATGTGGTCATCATGCAGAGCTCAGTAGACCACTCGAAACGGGTTTCCGCTACTCATATAACTTTCCAAAGTCTAAAAAAATAAAACAAATAAACAAGTACTGGTAATCGAGATTTCTCTGATGTCAATATTTCTAATTCTAGCAGTAAGTAAGGCTGTTAGATATGCACATAGATGCTTGAGGTCATCTGCGCTATATTAGATTGCATCTTTCTATGCATCGATCAAAGTACATTTTGTTCCCCCCTTGATAAATATCTGCAACACTGCAAATATTGCCACATGCGCCTGCTCCAAGTTGTGCCTCCCACTTTAATCAGTTGTGTTAGTTGTAACAAAATACAAGATGATATTGACTTTCTAAATACATCAAGGTTCATGTGGAGGGAATACCTTTGGGAAGAACGAATTATTTAACCTACGACTCTGAACACCATAACACAACTGGTTCTGCATATGTTGACTGCGGGCATTGTTTAACATCAAATTATCTTGCCTCTTCCTTTCTCATTTCTTATTTGGCTGAACAGGCGCAGGAATTGGAGCTGGATTCCCTGGGTTACAGCTGGGATTCGGAGCTGGTGCTGGATGTGGAATAGGAATAGGTTTCGGCTATGGCTTTGGAAAGGGAATTGCATATGACGAGAATGGGAAATATTCAAACATCAGGAGATCATTTCAGAACACCAGGAGCCTCCCTTATGAGTAAGCAGTAACCCACTCTAAGCTTTTGTACTAACACAAAAATGGCTCCATTTGGGCTTCTCCTGCTGCTCGACATGTTTTCATCCACAGAGGGGGCTTGCTTGACCTTGAATCTGCTTATATCTGTTATTATAAATGTCAATTGGCCGGTTCATACACTTGATGTGAACTGTCTTCGACATGTCTAACTTCACATGTTATCTCATTCTTTTAACACGATGAAAAAAATCTGCAGCCAGGAGTTTGACATCCTGTTTGACGAGGTGATGGAGAGCACCAGGAGGCTGATCAAAGCGACGACAAAGGAGCTCGACAAGTGGAGGCGCATGTAGAGAGAACATCACATGAACAAACAGGTTAGTATTTATCAGAAGCTTAACACGCCACGTGGAGCCTGAAACGACCTCCCGCTTGTCTGACGTTCCATCTGAATAATTCCAGGGATTCAGCGAGATACGCCGTCAGTATTCTACCCTCGTGAAGGATCAATTTCGTCAAGGCATGTGCGAGGGTGCGAGCATCATGTGACCGCGACGCCGTCCCCGCACCACCGGAATATCCTGCGCGGCGTCGCTGTCGGTAGCATATATTGTTCGTCTGTAGAATCGCTGTTTCGCATTGAAATACTCGGGCCTCGCGCAGCATCGCCTCGAATCAAATCTTTCTCCGTCTTGTTAAACATGGTGTCTGTATTTAAGTTCCTGATTAATGGTCAACGTCACCTCGCTGGAGTCGCTGCTGTTCATACTTCTGTCTGGGGCATCATTGTTAAGCAAGATTTGCGCTCCTCCACGGCAGTAGTACATGCACCAAACGCTTCCTACGTCAGGCGAAAACGAAACGCGATTAATGATTTCGTTTTGATCGGTGTCAGCCGTCTCCCACACCATTGGAGGGCAAGAAAGGGAAGTCTTGCAGGGGAGTGTAGAATTCAAAGTTCCAAGTAACACGCTAGGCTGTTGATCAATCAGTGAATCAACGGTCAGCGTTTCCAGTTGCTGCTCCAGCCGCATCTCCAGGTTTTCTTAGTCCAGGTCTCCAGGACCAGAGCGAACAAGATCATCAGAGACTCTATCACCAAAACACGCTTCGCTCATACTCCCTCTATTTCAAAATAGATGACCCAATTTTATACTAACTTTGTATTAAAGTTAATACAAAGTTGAGTTATCTATTTTGGAACGGAGGGAGTACTTACTACTCCCTCTGTTCTAAAATAAATGTCTCAACTTTGTACTAACTCTAATATAAAATTATATTAAACTTGAGACACTTATTTTGAGAGGAGGGAGTACAACTTCGTACTAAAATAAGTGACACTTATTTTGAGGCGAAGGGAGTACATGAAGTACAGTAAGTATACTACCATGTAGCAGTGGTAAAGTCAGGCCTAGAAAACTGCTCTCGTCCACTGATTCGAACTTTCCGCACGGGAGGACCACTACACCAGAGGAGAGCAGAGCAGAGAAAGGCATGTGAGTGAGTGAGTGAAAGAAAATCTAGCCATGACAGTTTTATGCGAAGCTGCCCTGGAAAAGGCTGCGGGCAGAATGATTGAGAGCTTTCCTCTTCTCTCTCTCTCTCTGCCAGATCGGCCGCTTTATTGGCTGCCACCGTGCACATGACATGAGTCACAACATGCCTGCCACGGTCAAAACATGTAGTGGGAGTATTCGAGTTTGCATGCCACCATTTGGAACATGGTAACATGCAACCTGCCCAAAGGGTTCCAAAATGCACAAGGGTCTCTTTGACTAGCAGGGTTTTAAAGACGTCGAAATTTGAAAAAAAAAATGTACGATTGCGAATTTGAATCCTACAGGATTTTTGCTTGTTTGGTTGTGCCACGGGGAAAACAAAAGTATGTTTTGAGGCCTCCTTTGATTCTTGGGATAGGAATAAGAAAGTCATAAAAAATGAGATGACAATTTCTGTACGAAAAGCTATGTAATTTGGTTCATAGGATAGGAATTTTTCCATTAGGTCCGAGCCAATATTCATTTCCCTTTAAAATGTAAAGGAAAGGAACCAATCCTGCATAGGAATAGGAATCTATTCCTACAAACCAAAGAACACCAAAGGAAAATTCCTTGTAGGACCCTATCCTATAGAATTTTTATAAAATTCCTATAAATTAAAGGAGGCCTAAAGAGGTTGGACTGGATACTAAAATTCCTATGGAATCTAGCGCAAAGTAATCCTTGGGAAAAGTTCCCATTGGATTCAGTCCTAAATCAAGCAACCAATATAAGAAGAAAAAATCCCATGAATCCTAATCCTCTAGAATTCCTTTGAAAAGTCCTTCAAATCAAAGAGGCTCTCAACGGATAACTACTTGGATATTGTGAATGGTAACCTAAAAAGTTAGACAAGTTTTCTATCCATGAGATATTCCTGTCCTATGAATCAAAGGAGGCTACAAGGTTAGAGTGGATACTAAAATTCCTATGAAATGTAGTGTAAAGTAATCCTTGGGAAAAGTTCCCATAGGATTCAATCCTATGAATCAAACAACCAATATAAGAAGAAGAAGAAGAAAAATCCCATGGAACCTAATCCTCTAGAATTCCTTTAAAAAATCCTTCAAATCAAGGCAGGCCAAGCTATTTGGATATTGTGAATGGTAGCCTACAAAATTAGACAAGTTTGCTTGGATAATATTTTCTAGTAGGAGACATTCTTCCTATCATGGTTGTCAGTATTCCCATATGCATCACAAGTACCTTACGACACTATGATGCCACCGTGCACATGACATGAGTCACACAACCTGCCTGCCACGGTCAAAACATGTAGTGGGAGTATTCAAGTTTGCATGCCACCATTTGGAACATGAATATGCAACCTGTCGAAAGGGTTCCAAAATGCACAAGGGTCTCTTTGACTAGCAGGATTTTAAAAATGTAGGAACATAAAAACATGTAGGATTCAGAAGTCATGCATATTTGAATGCACCACAGGGGAAACAAAGGAATCTTTGAAGGCCTCCTTTGGTTCAAAGGATAGGAATACCATAGGAATAAGAAAATCATAAGACATGAGATGACAACTTCTATACGAAAAGCGATGCCATTTGGTTCACGGATTGAATTTTTTTCATTAGGTTGAGCCAATGTTCGTTTCCCTTTGAAATGTAAGGATAGGAACCAATTCTATGTAGGAATAGGAATTCATTCCTACAAACCAAAGGACACAAAAGGAAAATTCCCTACAGGATCCTATCCTATAGAATTTCTATAAAATTACTGAATCAAAGGAGGCGTAAAGAGGTTGGACTGGATACTAAAATTCCTATGAAATTTACTGGAAAGTAATTCTTGGGAAAAGTTCACGTTACTCGATTCAATCAGATGAATCAAACAACCAATATAAGTAGAAAAAATCCCATGAATCCTAATCCTCTAGAATTCCTTTGAAAATCCATCAAATCAAGGGTTAATTAGATAAATGCCACTCCAATTATGGCGATTCTGAGAAATGCCACCGCAATTTCCAAACTTTGAAAAATGCCATTTCATGCCACTTCCAGTGGCATTTTTCGAAGTCTGCAGTGGTGTTCTTCAAAGATTGCAAAATTTGCAGTGGCATTTTTCAAAGTTTGGAAATTGCAATGGCATTTTTATGAATAGCCATAATTGGAGTGGCATTTATCTAATTAACCCTCAAATTCAAAGAGGCTCTCAAATGATAACTACTTGGATATTGTGAATGGTAACCTAAAAAGTTAGACAAGTTTCCTATCTCTAAGAGATTCCTATCCTATGAACCAAAGAAGGCCAAAAGGCTGGAGCGGATACTAAAATTCCTATGAAATTTAGTGTAAGGTGGTCCTTGGGAAAAGTTCCATAGGATTCATTCCTAGGAATCAAACAAACAATATAAGAAAAAAATCCCATGGATCCTAATCCCCTAGAATTTCTTTGAAAAATCCTTCAAATCAGAGAGGCAGACTAAACTACTTGGATATTGTGAATGATAACCTACAAAGTTAGACAAGTTCGGTTGGAAAATAAATCAAAGGAGGCCTAAAGAGGTTGGACTGGATACAAAAATTCCTATGGAATTTAGCACAAAGTAATCCTTGGGAAAAGTGCCCATTGGATTCAGTCCTAAATCAAGCAACCAATATAAGAAGAAATCCCATGAATCCTACTCCTCTAGAATTCCTTCGAAAAGTCCTTCAAATCAAAGAGGCTCTCAACAGATAACTACTTGGATATTGTGAATGGTAACCTAAAAGGTTAGACAAATTTTCTATCCATGAGATATTCCTGTCCTATGAATCAAAGGAGGCTACAAGGTTAGAGTGGATACTAAAATTCCTATGAAATTTAGTGTAAAGTAATCCTTGGGAAAAGTTCCCATAGGATTCAATCCTATGAATCAAACAACCAATATAAGAAGAAGAAAAGAAATCCCATGGAACCTAATCCTCTAGAATTCCTTTGAAAAATCCTTCAAATCAAGGCAGGCCAAGCTATTTGGATATTGTGAATGGTAACCTAAAAAGTTAGACAAGTTTGGTTGGAAAATATTTTCTAGTAGGAGACATTCTTCCTATCATGGTTGTCAGTATTCCCACATGCATCACAAGTACCTTACGACACTATGATCCTACAGTACTTGATACTGACCATCCAACTTCGATACTGCTACTTAGACAAAAAGGGCACTACTGCCTAAAGCCTAAAACCTAGGTTGGTACTTAGGCAACACGCCGAAGGGAGACAAGGACAAGGAAAGGGAAATTATGAATGCAAATCAATCATTAACAGAGCCTGTCTGCCTGCCTGTCTAGTACTACCACTACTAGCACACAAAAGCACCAGCACATGACAATATCATATCACAGCTATTTTTTCCAGGCACACAATACCTGGCTGATTATTATCCGACACTTGGATGGCCACCTGGCCTTGTTAACTTACCCCAAACCAATAAACAATGTCAACTTTTCCAAAGTCAGATTGCACAGAAAGAATAAATAATAGGAACAGCGTCAAACATCAATCAAGCCCAACGAGGATCATCATTCGCCCACGGACCCATCATACGGTTGGTAAAGCGCGCAGATCATGACAGGCATAGGCCAGCACTCATCATCCCGGTATATGCAACACCAATCATCTCCACCCTTGTCATCAGATTCAGACGGACCAAGTTTAGATCACCGCCCCGTTTTCGGACGCTTCATCCCGGCGGAGTTAAAGGGGGAGATGCTCGGGCTAAGGTGGGGGCTTGGGCTTTCCTCCCTCAGAGTGCCGTTCAGGATGGCCAGCTCTCTCAGCTGCTGCTTCTTGTAGTAGTCCATGGACTCATCCTGATCAATGACAGCACTCGTTAGAAAGGGCATGTCAAAATCATGGAGACAAAATGGGAGTGAAACAGGAAACAAATGTGCTTACCATTGGTTTGAGAAGATCTTCCAGGATGGTCACAGCCTGGTTTAGACGCACATCAATAATGTCTGCTGGGAACTCTGCTTCCACAAGCACGTGCAGTGCCTCATTCAGGTGCTCATATCCAGGCTTATCTCTCAGCTTCTCTTCCTATATTACAGTAATGATATACTCATTAATTCATTCACATCGCTAGGGGGGGCGGGAAAACAGAAATGAAGCAAAACATTACATAGTTACATGTATCAAGAATTCAATGATCATATTATGCAACAGATAAATACAAGAAAGCCCAATGCAAAGTCTATAACCAAAGAGCGAGGCATTTCATGTCCAAGGGTAACACCGTAACACTAAAATGATGTTTGCATCAGAGCAATAAGATACTATCAGATTTGAAAAGCCTACATTTGCACCTAAAAAAGCCTATATACATATTACATGTATCAAGAATTCAATGGTCTTATTATGCAACAGGTAAATAAAAGAGATGTCCAATGTCAAAGCCTATAGCTAAAGATCAAGGCTGATATACCGTAACACTGATATAATTTCAAAAGCTTATGTTTGCATCAGAGCAATAAGATATTAGATTTGAAAAGCTTATAAGTGCATCTAAAGAAACTTATATACAGCAGACTAGCATCAGAACCTTAAACAGTTAAATTACAGGGTCAGTTTACTGACTCATACTATTGATAGATGGAATGTACATATATCACCAGTATCCAGTGAGTAACAAGATCCAAACAATGAAGGCTAAGGGGAACAGAAAGCTAGAGTGCTAGTGACATAAGCCACCACCCACCGACAAAAGAATGTTTTTACAGCAGTCACTAGTCAGTACTCACTGCAGTTAAACTATATATTCAAAACGTAGATCATGTCATCTCACAATGTCATTAACCTAGAGGACCTAGTAGATTAACAACTAGAATGAGCAAGTAGAAAACGTTAGCTAAAGGGGGAAGACCCCCCCCCCCCTAACTGTCTGTTGTTTAGGTAGGAGATGAGATCTCTCCACGATTCAACGCGGATAGCACCCCAGCGGAGTCCGCTGCGCGGACTGGAACGCGGGTGGGCGCAAACTCCAGCCACTGAGCTAGTGTTCAGTTCTCAGAATAAGCAAGTAGCAGTAAATATATACAGTAATAAAATTTGAATGATGAAATATCCATAGGTGCGGGCTACGTGATAGCAAGTATTAAATAGATGTTATATCCTCAATGAGCTTCCGACAGCGTTACTAGTCCTAAAACAACTTGGCAATCATTGCATATCAATCAGGCCAGACTAAAGGTTCAGTTGTTTATGGTATTAGCGATTAAATATATTAGCCAATTCAACCAGGAAAAAAATCTCTTAAATTAATTCCACATGATGAACTATGACAGTAACACATGGTATACATCCTAAAACTGTCCAATGGTTTAGCGCTGCTAAAATCAGGAACTGGAGAACAATACATGATAGTGTGCTTAGTTACCTTCACAGAGTCTTTAACTGATCCACGCCCACGAATATAAACTCTGCATTGAGTCGTAGCTTCAACTCTTTTCAGGGAGTTTCCTCGTGGCCCCAATAGACGGCCAACAAAGTTGAACTAGTAATGGACAAAAGAGTAAATCATTCATGACAAGACACAGCACATTAATAAAGTGATAGAAAGCCCTAAAGTAATGCATACTTACGTTAGGATACTTGTCCACAGGAACATCTAGCCTCACAAGTTTCTTGACAACAGGGGTACCACCAAGTGCTGGAGCACCATTCCAGCTCATTGGTGATGCTTGCAGAACCCCCATATGCTGAAAAAAGAGAGAATATTTTCTCCATAAAATAAATTAAGATAACTTCCTAAGATAAGCAAGATCCAATATAAAGAAACTGTGTCTTTGACAAAATTAGTTGCAAGGGTTAAATCTGGATCAAGCAACTACAAGGCAATATTATAAATAAAAAAGGGATTCTTTGTTAGTTTTAAGGAACAGATGAGTCAAAATGGACAAATAATATCCATCTGCCATTAACATAAGTCAGGTAATGATGGGACTGCATTTTCAATGATATTTTCTCCATAGAATAAATTAAGATAACTTCCTAACATAAGCAAGATCCAATATAAAGAAACTGGGTCCTTGCAAAAATAGTTGCAAGGGTTAAATCTGGATCAAGTAACTACAACACAACATTATAAATAACAAAGGGATCTCTTGTTAGTTGCAAGGAAGAGATGGAGTCAAAATGGAGAAATAATATTCATCTGTCATTAACATAAGTCAGGTAAAAATGGGACTGCATTTTCAATGATACTATACTGGTACTGCGGTACATTACATTCCAGAAAACTAGTGCAAGGTTAAACCTGACTACATCATGGTATGCATAAAATATCCACAATCCATGCAAAATCTTTTCATTTTACCAGGGTAGCCATCCTATAAATGCAATTACAACATAGCAATTCAATCTCAATGGTAATCAGCGATTGCTTGAATCTGCATTACCTCTGCTTGCCTTCCTGACCATCCCTCCAGATCCATTGGTTGACCATTCACTGGGTGGCCAGGTAACCTTAATGGGCTACCATGCTCAATTCTCTCAGCATCAACAAAATTATGGTTAGGCGGCAAAGAAGATGCCCGCAAAATCTCTGCATTAAACAAACATGGTAATGACGAGGCAGTGAGTGAAATATTTTCTGGCATACGATAGTACAATGATGATAGTAAAATCGTTGTCCTGCACTAAATTGAGAAATGGGCAGTAATCGTTATATTTACAACTACATCCAATTCCTTGAATTATGGCAGCAACTAGATAGCAAGTAGAGACTTTCACAGTTAAAGAATAGGAATAAGCTGTATTGTGACCATTCTTAATCGATATTCGTTGTCGATATAAAAAGCATCAAATTCCAAAGTGTGAAGCCAATTACGAGACAGATTTACAAGGGCAAAGTTATTTGTGACCAAGAACTGGACAAGTTACCAGTATATTTAGATGATAGCGTATATGAGAAATGTATTAACAGAAGATCTGGTTTAACTTGCCCGATTGACTAGTACTCCTACATGATAATGCTACCAATATTTTTGGACAGGAAGAGCATCATACATCCACAAAGATATATTAGGTCATCAAATTTTCATAACAAGTCATAATCATTACTAACAGCCCATAACCTTACAGAATTAGGGTGAAACAGATTAAACTAAAGATAGGGTGAAACAGATTAAACTAAAGATAGATCTATCTTTAGTTTAATCTGTTTCACCCTAATTCTGTTATGTTATGGACTAAAGATAGCTATGAGTGAATGACTGATTGCATCATGAACAACACATAGTATCTACATTGCAAAAGACCATATAAACAGGAAGAAACAAAGTAATGCCTGAAAGAGAAATAAACCTTGGTTCAAGAGCCTGGTACAGTAGGGAAGAACTTGAACGAATGGGGCTAGCTTCTGCCTCTCAGCAAGCAACTCAGCCACATACCTGACAAAGAAACAAGCACATTAGGATAAAACAGGTCACTCCAACTCTGTTGTTCACATGAGATTAATATTCGATATGACAGAAAGTACAATCATGATTTGAAGCATCTAAAATAACCAAAAGGCAGACCAAAACGCTGTAAAAAGACTAGAACTTTTGATTAGATTTATACATCAAGATCCAGCAAGATGTAAAATTGTACACACGTCTATCAATAAATGACTGAATTATTACATACGAATTTTACATCAACAGGCCAAAAAAAAATAAATCTATCAGCGAGGAGCAATCATCTAAATCCCTATCTCCACAGATCACTCCTCCATCACAATCTCAGCACTCGAAGAAGGCCGGAACCAGGCAGAAATCTCCGCCGGCCGCATCAAATCTCGTGCTTCACGGAAGATTCCGAAGTGTCTGGATCAAAAAAACGAAAAACAAAAACTCGACCGGAAGAAACAAGAACAGGGATAGCAAAGCAGGAGCCCCACCTTTCTCTATCAGACGAGGCAGAGTACCTCATGGAATTGAGGTGGAGGTGATGAGGCGCAGAATGGACAGGGGACTGCGAGTACTGCTGCAGGTGAGCCGGCGGCGGAATCCTGTCGCCCATGGCTACCGACGGCGAAAGGAACGAACTCTACAAGATTCAGGGGAGGACCAAGAAACCGAGGACCCAAAAAACCGGAGACCCAAAGCAATCAAGAAAAGAAACCAAGAAGAAGAAGCAACTACTTAGCAACGCTACGGTAGGGAGGGGCAGTCCCCGAAATCTAGAAGTGAGGAGAGATTGGCAAGGACCAGGAGGATATATATAAGGGATAGATGGGATTGTTTAGCACAGAAGAGGAAGGTAATAGATGCGCAATCAATGATCGGCGAGCCCAGGCTGTGCAGCGTTGGCAGCAGCGGCAGCAGCAGCAGCTCGTGGTTCTTGCTCCTCCTCCCCTCCACAACACACCCGCAGAGGGGGGAGAGCAGGGCGGGGTGGGTGGGGAGAAGGGGGCGGAGAGAGGGGAAGAGACAAACCCAAAGGAGGGCTTTGGATTCTCTCTCCCTGCAGTATTTGTCGCTGAAAATCACAGGCGGTTTCCACCCCCGTAAAATTTCCTCCTTCAACGGTGTTGGGTTTCTTTCTTTTTATTTTCGGTTGGAATTTGGAGAGGGTTTATTGTTGTGCTAGGTACACCCAAGATAAATGGTTTCAAGGAAAAAATGTACGTGCCCTTGCCAAAAAATAGGGGAAAATGTACATGAGATATGTAAAATATAAATTCATCGGGTACTTTTCAAAATGAATACGGCATGAACTTTTGAAAAATAAGGAATGGCATGAATTGTTATGGATAGATGAATGTTGAGACGCGAACTTTTCAAAAATAAATGGATACCATGAGTTGTTATGGGATAGATGAATATGGCGCGAACTTTTGAAAAATAAGGAATGGCATGAATTGTTATGGATAGATGAATGTTGAGACGCGAACTTTTCAAAAATAAATGGATACCATGATTTGTTATGGGATAGATGAATATGGCGCGAACTTTTGAAAAATAAGGAATGCCATGAATTGTTATGGATAGATGAATATGACGCGCGAACTTTTCAAAAATAAATGGATACCATGAGTTGTTATGGGATAGATGAATATGGCGCAAACTTTTGAAAAATAAGGAATGCCATGAGTTGTTATCGATAGATGAATGTGGCGAGAAAACTTTTCAAAGATAAATGGATACCATGAGTTGT